CTACTGAATGTTAGATGCCAGAGCTGTGCTACAAAATGTTCCCACTACATTTTCAAATTTATAAGATAGGTTCTTATATTGCACATGATGCATTTTAAAATAGCAAGAAATAATTGTGTGTATTTCATTGGTGAAGCATGCAGATCATCATAAATGAGGATATCACAGTTTCATTCCTCATTGTTTCCAAGACAAGTTTTTTTCTAGGTTATGAGAAGTGCATTTTTAAATTAAGTCAATTATGCCATAGCTTCTAGTTAATCTTTGAGACTAGAATAGTGTATTTAAAAATTTGTCTCCTTGTTAAACAGACACCATGACAGTGTTTGTGTAGTGTATTGTTAACCTCCAGTGGAAGGTTAAGCGGCTTCTTCTGTATCTAAATCTGTTGCTGTGAAAAATGACTGCAGTGTTGCACCCACCTACCCATGAATGGGAAAAGCAAAGATTTGCACCTGTGGGATTAGGTGTAGCAGCAGGAAGTACGAGCGTTTGCAGCATATAATTAACAAGGAATTTTTTTTTCTCTCTTTTTAAGCAGCATGTTCATCTTGGTAGGTTAACTAGTAATTAAAGTCTTGAAAAAAAATTGCTGGAGTCTGCACTCTTACTTAAACTCATTCACTCGCTGATGTATTCGGTTACTTTCGAAGCCAGTGTCAAAGCAACTCACCTGAAAATACTTTTATTTTCTTCCATAGTTATTGATCTCTTTATACTCATGGGGGAATTCTTTAGATCTTTGTTTCCTTTTACTATAACTTTGTTAGCCAAAATCTGCTCTTTTCTAACCAGATTGAAAGTAATTTCTTCTTTTGACTTAGGGATAACTACCATCATGAACAAGATGGAGAAGTTGGTGCTTAGTGAGCTAAGAATCCTGGTGTTTACATGGGAATGTGAAAAATCATTTACTCTCCCTAAATGCTATTTAATACATGGAGTGCTTGCTACATAGCTCTTAATTGTTATTTTCTCTTAATCATTAAGGAAACTATAATTTAATTATCAATTTAGAAAAGATCTCTAAATACAGCTTTCTAAAATGCAATATTCTTGATTTTAAAATACTCATTTGAACTCACCAATGATGAAGTTGAACAGGCCGCTCCTATGAAAGAGTTGTTAGGCCCTTGTACCAGAATTTCTAGCTGTTTTTCATCTCTCTAGTGCAATCACATGCTTTCTTTTCATTTGCACATAAAAAAAATACCCAAAAAAATTAACAGTATGCTTAGCTTTTTTTTTTTTTTTAACTGTGCTTGGTACCCTAATAAGATAACATTTCATAATGGAATTAGATGCAGTGACTTTCAAAGTGTGTAAATTTTACTGCCATGAAACAAGTCTTAGCACAAAGGAGCACTGAACCAGCAGTAATGTCTTCTATCCAAACACATTTGTACTGTACGTAGAAACTGTTTAAAAGGAAAATTACATCTTTTTCAGCAATTTATCAGAGATAATTACCCTCCATGCACCAAATGAAGGATAAAGTGTTTTAAAGAACTCTAATTCTAATTGGTAAATGTCACCAGCTGTTGCAGCGACTCTTACTTGTGTATATTCTTTTAATGATTATAGTCTCATGCCACAAGCTACATGAAAATATATTCACTAGGTGTGAAATTCCCATATGTCACAGTTTGAAGAATAGGTAAACAGCTCAAAGATAAAGGAAGAAATAATGCTAATGAGGAATGTAAGAATTCTAGGTTTTGTTTTCTAGGCAAGTGGATCTTAATTTGCCAAAAGGGAAGAAAAAGCAATTTCATAAAGAAGAGAGAAACAATTTGTTCAAACTTATTTAAAATGAGGTTTACCTTATACCCTCCACCAGAGATGATTAGGTTCTTAGAAAGTTCTAGGACTGTCTGTCTCACTTACAGATTTAGCATTATACCCCTTGAGTCTGCCAGTAAGGAATGGCATTGAGTTTTCTTTTAGACGTAAACTCTAAAGTATTTGTTGGTTTTAGATGGTGAAAGATAAACTCTTCCTGGACAGTGTTTCGTGAAGTCTAATGTTGTCTTGGAAGTGACTAATGAAACAGAAACTGCCCCCATGAATATGGCCAGTGTATAAAGTCATCATTCCTTGTTCTTCCCAGCCATAGCTTAGCTTCCAGTGTGATGGATCAAGTGGCGGAGTAACTGAGACTTCCAAGCATAGTTTTCCTTTGAAAACCAGAAATAAAAATGGGGTTGGGAGTGGAGAAATTATGGGAAGGCAAGTCTCTCATCTGTCTGTTCTTCAACTCCAGGCTCAGGGGGCTGTACTCAAAGCCTCGGTATGTTGTCTACCATTATTCTTTCTTGCCAGGCACCTGACTGAAACTCAGATGCTGAGCTAACTTGCTATTAAGTATAGAAAATTGTCCTCATGTCATTTTCATTCAGGGACAGCATGTTACCTGAATGTTCTCATTTTCAGTGTTTTGACAAAACTTTAGAGGCACAGAATGAAATACTGATGGGTTAGTTGCCTCTCGAGAATCGATAGTAGTAATCTTTGTACAGGTTCCCCAGCTTCTTCGCTCAAAAAAAAAAAAAATATATATATATATTTATATATTTATATTTATTTATATATTTATATTTATTTCATTGTTTTTATATCCCTTGACCTTTCAAATACTGGTTCTGAGAATTAGGCAGAAAAATAGTGAAGAAGTGAATTTGTTAAGCTGCCTTTGTTAGATATGCTCTGTTTTACCTACATTATATATGGATGATCTTGAAGGAGATACCACGGATGACATTTATGTAAATACTTATTTCAAATTGTGACTAATTTTATTATATCAGCTGGTGCAGTGCAGTGGTGGCACATGCCTGTAATCCCAACAACTCAGTAGGCTGAGGCAGGAAAATTGCAAATTTGAGGCCGGCCTCTTCATTTAGCAAGACCTGTCTCAAAATAAAGTTAAAAAAAACTTTGTGGCTCAGTGGTAAAGCACCAATGGGTTGAATTCCCAATACCCAGGTTTCTTTTGTTTGTTTACTAATTTTATTATATCAGGGTTATATTATAAAGATCCTTGAATTTATGTGGTATATAATTCCCTTTAGGCTGAATATAAGAGTAAGAAATTGCAGTGATCCTTGCTGCACAAAAATAATTTAAATTTAAAAATTCATAAGGGGGATAAATGAGATAGTTTATTGCCTCCTCAATGCATTAGTTAAGAGGCAAGCAATTTTATTATGGTATTAAGATATTACTGACTCCTCCCCCACACAAAAAAGAGTGGCAAGAACTTTTTGTCCTTCGCTTAAGGAGAAGATGTTGTGCTGTGCATCCCTCTGATATATGACTTGAGTTGTTTTTTTCCAGAAATAGTAATAGTTAAATGATCCATATCATCTTCCACCTAATGTTCTTGCAGCATTTACTTTGCAGATGAGTCAGTGAGGTTATCAGTGCATCCTGTGGTCGTGGAATTAGTGCAAGACTGGCTTATTTGGGCATAATTTCTACTATTTTATTCTTTCTTACATTGTACTCTAATCAAATAAGCCAATATAGATTATGAATCAACCCCAGACGTAAATGATACAAATAATTATTTGCATTAGCCAGTGAAGCTATAGGAAACTGAATAAAAAAAAAACTAATGATAAGGTAAAAAAGGAAAACTCTTTAGCAGCCATGCAGGCTTTTGTCCTTTCCTAGTACTGATTTTGTAGTCTATAAGGAGGAGTAATGTTGACACCCTACCTCCTCTAACATTTGAAAACATTACATGCTAAGCTGGGTATGATGGTACACACCTGTACTTCCTGTGACTCTGGAGGCTGAGGCAGGAGGATCATAAGTTCAAGATCAAGGTCAGCCTTACCAAGACCTTCAGCAACTCACAACACCGCATCTCAAAATGAAAAGAGGACTAGGGAGTAGCTCCTGGTAAATCACCCTAGGTGAAATCTTAGTACACACACACACACACACACACACATACACAGACCAAATGTTAGCTGCCCTTGGTAAGTTAACTATTTCAACTCTTTGCCTTTATATAGGAATCCAATTCATTGATATTCTCACAGCATTTCTAAATTAAAATAAATTCTTAAGACAGTATTGATGAATACTGAATAGAAGCACTGGATAATCCACCAAATGTTTTGTTTCACTTAATAACATACTGAATCATTCTTGTCTAATACATTTGTAATAATATTTTACCCAGCTTGATGAGAAAATATCATTTGTACTCCTTGAACATCAATAACAGTCAATAGAGAAAGCCAAAGGGAAGCTAATATTTTTAATATTATAGATAAATCAGCAAGAGATGATTAAAAGTGGATTGTACTTACAATTAAGAAATAATAGCTGTATGTGAGAAAATTTGGAAAAAAAATATCCCTTCACAGGGCTGGGATTGTGGCTCAGTGATAGAGCATTTGCCTTGAATGTGTAAGGCACTGGGTTCAATTCTTGGCACCACATAAAAATAGATAAATAATAAAGGTATCATGTCCACCTACAACTAAAAAAATGTTTTAAAAAACATCCTTTCATATATATCCTGCTTGGCTTGTTCACCTTTCAAGAGAGCCTGTATACACACACACACACACACACACACACACACACACACACACACACACAAACACATACGTATAGGCTTACAACCATATGCTTAATCTCTTTTAATGTTTTTTAAGTTATAGATGAACAATGAAAAAAATTCTTTAAATTTATTTCTATGTGGTGCTGAGGATCGAACCCAGTGCCTCACACATGCAAGGCAAGTGCTCTGTCATGGAGCTACAACCCCAGACTAGCTTAATCATTTTAATAATAACTATGACTTCAAGTAGTGACCATCAATACTAAACCATTTTGTTTACTTCAGTTGTGGAATTTATTGTAGGTGCTCATTGTTGATTTGGTCTTGAGCATATTGTACTCAGTTAATTCTCAAAATTAATTTCTAGGATGTGGTTGAGTAATGATGTTGTCTTATTCCCCTCGCTTTTCCCTCACCACAGAAACCAGGAATGGATCTGGCAGACACCTATATTATGTTTGTTCGGCAAAACCAGGATATTCTTCGAGAAAAGGTCAATGAAGAAATGTATATAGAAAAGTTATTTGATGTAAGTAGTTACCCCCACAAGGTATGCTGGTGGTAAATACACACGGCAAGAGAAAAGTTGTATCTTGATGGTAAGATTGCAAAGTCCTTTTTGGTCTTTTTTCTTCGATTCAGCTAATATAGTTGATAATTTTTTATTTCCTTGACTGCTGAGGGAAGCCTTAAGGGAAGCCTCCTTTTCTACATGAAAACTGTCACCATTAGAAGGAGAGTCTCAGAAACCTTCTGAAGTGAGTTTTAACAAGCAAGATGACAATCCATACATGTGCAGCTTGATCTCACTTGCCTGAGCAGCATGCCATAGACAAAACCATGTGGTAACAGATTTGGTTCCGACTTTAAAAGTTTTTTGTAAGTCACTATATCGTTCAGTTAAACAAGGAAATAAGCAGCAGGAAAGCCAAATATCTGCCACTGTGCTGTCATTGAACATTTTTATCTTGGTTTAGAGTACTGATGTTTGCTAAAAGATATAACATTACAGTTTTATCAGTTTTGAGGTCTTCATTTAGGCAGGACAACTAGATATGGGGGATTGTGGTTTTCAATACCATAATCACCAACTTTCACTCACTGAGTATCTATACAGGTAACTAAGAGAGCAGTCAATTTAAATAACAATGTTGTCATTCACTTGTAATTATTAACCATGTTCAAAGGAAATGGTACTCCAGTGGCTGGAACACTCTATAACTTACCACAGTGCTGATTGTGAACTGTAGTAGTGCTTTGAAGTGCATTTATTTATGTACATTTTCTCCGCATTTTAGAAATGCTTTTCTGGCAGTTTCATTTAATTATGCGAGTTACTGCAAATGTTTTCATAACAGCAATTCACGGGCTTCTTGGTGACACTTCAGCTGTGGCAGTTACAGTAGGTTCCTCTACCTCATCATCTCCGCCATGGTCTGCCCTGTTCACTGTTTGTCAGATTGGGTGGTCAAAATGAATCTTAGCTTTCTGACTTTATGTTCCCAGCCTCTACCCAGGCCATTTTACAATAAAAGTATCATCTGTTTTAATAAGCTAAGTGTTAATATGTGTGAAAAGAATGATTTCCTAAAAGCTTTGATGCCCTGCAGGGGTAGAAAAATTATCATCCATCCAGCTGGCTCTTTTACAAAATACTGAAACCATATTAGCAACTTCTGCTTCCATTTGGTTTTGCTCTAAATTTACTAGCATATGTTTCGTTTCCAAGTTCTGTTTGACTTTTTTGCTTATGTAGTCATTTTTTAAAATGTTGAACACACACAAAAAAAAGTTGGGTTGATGTTATTTCTATTATATGTCTTCCTAATCTAGCTCAAGTGCATACACTAAGGGAAAAATAAGGTAGATCCATCTACCTTAGATTTGTTGGGGCCAGGAAGATGTTTTCTTAACATAGTCAATTTTTGTCTTGGTGACCTATTTACTGCAAAGCTTAACTATTCTTGCCATTGGTTCATAACAAAGGTAGATTTTTTTTTTCTCCTCAAACTTATTTTTCACTTAACCTGCCCTTCATTTACTCTACTTGTCTAGAAGACCATTTATGTGGCAGCACTAACAAATGAAACTAACTAAAGTGGAGGAAAGAGGCCAACATTCAAATAATGAACTATTATTGAATTGTCTTGGTCATGTATACTTCCCTTTCTCCACCTAAGCATCTGGCTCTGAGTTTGCTTCCAAACTATTCTGTTCTAGTTGTAAAAGTTTTTTTTTTTTTCATTTTCGAAATAAATCCCCAGTAGAACATTGGACTGTTATTCGTAAAGTAATTGTAATGTCCTTAAACATCTAGCATTTTAAGTTGCACATTTTTGTTACTTTAATTAAAAGTAAAAATAGACCCTAATTCTATTGATATGTCATCAAGAATAACATGTGTAAGGGGGTACTAAGAGCCCCTAATTAGCCAAGACTGAATTTGCCTCAATTACAGTTAGTAAATGAGAGGTTATCAAGTATGTGTTGAAAGGTACAGTAGAATGTGTATCTCCAGCAACAGATCATTACTGAGAGACATTGTATAATTATTGGAAATCCACTTGGCTTCAGCTTAAAATAATATTGTTAGGTGTCAAACAGTTGAAAATAATGACCCTAAATATACTGTTAGCAACCTTAGCTATTACGGATAAAAAAAAGATTGAAGAGAACAATTGTACTCAAACATCATGACAAACTTTTGCTGTTGCAATTAGAGTACTTCCTATGTGAATAAGTAAATGGATCCTCCTAAGTTCAGATGCAGAAGAAAACACACACACACACACACACACACACACACACACACAC